TTCATACCTTAGCCATGTTGCTAAACCTTACGACTAGACAAAGTAACAATTTCCCTGACTAATATACGAATACCCAGTATGTAGTGAAATGACAGATTAAAACACAAGCACAAGAGCAGGCATCTAACCTGTAGCAACATGGATGTTGCTGGTGATGCTGCTCCTATCTGGTTGACCATGTCCCTACGCCACTCTTGCTTGGCCACCTTCAGGCCTGCCTGCTGCCTCTGGAGTGAAGACTTCTGTTTCTGCAGAAACTCCTTAGCTGCCTGGATGGAGTCTGCTTCCCTGTTGAGTGCTCGTAAGTTCCTGTCCCACTGGTGCATGCTGCTGTTGTCACCAAGGTTGTCCAGCATGGCAGAGTCATGTAAGTCTCGGATCCAGTCCTGTCTGGGGTTTCTGTATGCAGTGAAGGACTCGCCATCAATGTCACTGTCAGCTCTACTATGTTCACTCTCTTTTCTCCTTCTTCTTGTACTTCTGTATGCCCTGTCATCCTCCTTGTCTCCCCTTTGGTCATCAGATGACCAGCCATCCAGCAGACTCCTCAGAGACGCTCTGTCCTGTCGAGGTGCAGGTGTGTCATCAGCAGGCTCCTCTGTTGGTTCAGGATGGACTCCATTTGTTCTGGGCTCCCCTGCTGAATTTCCATCCTTCATCTCACCAATACTGGCTCGTAATCTCTGGTATTCAGAACCACTTTCCTTTATCTTCTTTTTCAAGTCCCTGGTAAAATAAACACCCTTATTGTAAACAACATCATGCATCAGCCTTCATCTGGTCAAGATCATTCTGTGATGTGACAAGCATTTTCTCAGATTTACTAAGTGCTGGGGCCTTGAGGGTATTTCTGTTCAAAACACTACTGTGATAAGGAAGGAAACCAACTTGAGCTGTCCTTCATGGTGATCCCTGCTCTGCTTCAGTCTCTGGATCTCCCTCTCCAGCTCTTTCCTGGCCTTCTCAGTCTTCTCGAGCTCCTTCTGCTCCTTCCTGTAGAGAAGTTTATGGTGTTCTGTTATTCAAACCTTGGAACCATGCTCTTTTGTCTTCAACTTGCTTTAAAGAGGAGTTAAGGAGGCAGTCTACATAAGAGCTCACAGACCTACCCTGAACAGAGACGGGGGGCGACACAAGTTATCTGGCACGTATGACCCGCTACTACGGTCACGTGTCTCTGACGTCACGTTCCAAGAGTAGACGGGTCCATTCCGTGAACAAGGTTGATGGAGTCAACCGAAAATTTGGGGTAAGTCCCAATTCTATATCTAGTGTTGGAAGTTAAAGTTCAGTCTTTATTTCATAATGATTTGTACCAACACAGATGAACTTTCATGCTAAGTTGCTTTAAAGGTATCTATGTGAATGAACGGTCTATGGAATTGAATTGTTGGATGACACTCCACTGAGTAAACAAAGCAAACTGTTCCAACTGCTCCATTTCACAATCACAATTGTCTTCAGTAGCCATTACGTTCCATTATTGTACATTATTAGTTTTAGTAACGTCTAAGTAAATGGTCTCCTTCCACCTTACCTGAGTAATCTGTGTATGTCTTCTCTCTCCTGTGAGGCCAGCTCAGATGACTCATTAGTGTTGACATCCTTTCCAAGAGACTTCCTTTTCTGATTAAGTTCACGTCTCATTGTCTGTAACTCTTCCTCCTGTAGGCCAAGAAATAAGTATCACAATGTGCAACTTTTAAAAGTTAAAACACTATGTTGAGAATGAAAAGAAGGGGGTCAAGGTTGTGAGGAGATTTGTTTTTCACTCCACAATTTTCCACCAAGTCCACCTAGCAGTGTATGTATAGTGTACTGACCTCCTTATCCAGATCTTTGCTTGTCTGCTGAAGGTCCTTCTTTCTCCTGTCCAGCTTCTCTTCCATCTGCTTGACCTCACCTTGCCAGTTCTCCATCTCTTTGGTCTTGGCCTTCTTGTCACGCTCAAGTTCTCCTAGCTTCTTTTCATTTTCTTTAGCATGTTTCTGAAGATCTGCCTCCAGCTTTTTCTCAAGGGCAGACTTTTCTTTTTGTTCCTACATGGACAAACATAGCAGTGGGATGTCAACGAGAATCACTCCAAAAGTGACTGATGCCTGAAGTATTACAAGTAAAATGTTACGAACTACAAACTGCTCTCTAACCATCTTACGCAGAACAATGCAATCTACGCTACAGTACCTAAGTTACATGACAACNCCACAATTTTCCACCAAGTCCACCTAGCAGTGTATGTATAGTGTACTGACCTCCTTATCCAGATCTTTGCTTGTCTGCTGAAGGTCCTTCTTTCTCCTGTCCAGCTTCTCTTCCATCTGCTTGACCTCACCTTGCCAGTTCTCCATCTCTTTGGTCTTGGCCTTCTTGTCACGCTCAAGTTCTCCTAGCTTCTTTTCATTTTCTTTAGCATGTTTCTGAAGATCTGCCTCCAGCTTTTTCTCAAGGGCAGACTTTTCTTTTTGTTCCTACATGGACAAACATAGAATCACTCCAAAAGTGACTGATGCCTGAAGTATTACAAGTAAAATGTTACGAACTACAAACTGCTCTCTAACCATCTTACGCAGAACAATGCAATCTATGCTACAGTACCTAAGTTACATGACAACATTTTGATACATTTTGTTTACAACTGCAGTATACATGTTTAGGTCCCTTATCCACATAATTCAAACCTATTGTGACATTAGTATCTGCTGATGATTGAGAATTTAAACATAACCCTATCTCCTGTTCTCTACCACAGTGACTTACTTTCTCTTTATGTTCCTGTTGTAGACTGGCCAACCTCTCTTGATGTTTCTCTTTCAGCCTGTCCATTTCCTTCTGGTGCTTCTGTTCAATTTCTGCTCTCCTTTCTTCTAGAACATCACTCAACTGAACAAACAACAAAACAAACAAGACAAAATTTATCTTCTATTGAAATCAACAGCTTGTATTGTGTTACAGTCAGAGTCACTCCTATTGATATTTTATTTCTAAACTATAGAAGTCTCAAGCTGCTGACTTACCTCATGTTCATAGTCCTCCACAGCCTGCTGCCGGGTGCCTGCTGCCTTCTGTACCTGCTCCTCCCTCTGAGTTCTCTCCTGCTGCAGCTCCCTCTCCTGCTGAGCCAGCTCCTCCATGGCCTGGTCATGCTCGTCCTGCAGCTCTCCTCTCCTCTGGGCAGCTGTTTCTTCATGTTCAGCCTTGATTTCATCTAACATCTGAAGAGAAACAATCCAAAGTACTGAAGTTATACAACCAATATGTGTAGTTTTAATCAGACATGCCTTTTTTGCTCCATTGATCTTCCTCCTTTCAATTTTCTTTCCCCACCCCTCACACACTCATCCACAAACAATAACGATGTCCCACCTGGTCCAGCTCTTCCTCAAGCTGTGCTTTGTACTGCTGTAGTTCCTTGTCATGTTCCTGCTTTAACCTGGACCTCTCCTGTTCAGCAGCATTCTCCTCTTCCTCTGCAGCCTTCCTCGCAGCCTTCTGCTTCTTAGTTTCCTCCTCAGCCTCCAATTTTGACATTTCATTACGTAACTTATCCAACGCAGTCTTTGACTCTTTCCTAAAATGTGGTAGATACAACATGGATTATATCTTCTATTCTACAAGAAATGAATACACAAAAAGCTCAGGACTCAACAACATGAGTTTGTGTACCTGAGTCTTCATTTGCAGCACTTGCAATATTGCAGATATTTTAATTTCTACATTGAGTTGAGTGATATGATGGTACAAACTAAAAGACCACAGGTACCTGATCCTGTTTTCCTCCTCTTCCCTCTCCCGTGCCAGCTGACTGCGAAGCTTCTGTAGGGCATCCTGTTGGCCTTCCTTTAAAGCAGCCTCCTCATTGGTTGTTTCCTCTTTTATCTTTAGCCTTAGAGATCTAAATGTATGACATTGAAATAACACAGTAAGGTAAGGATGCTGGTTGTTGCTAATATCAAGCTTGTCGTTTTGGGTAAGTATAGTTTAAGTTGATATTCACAGCAAACATTATCTAAAAGCAAGTACACATTGTACAAGTACATGTACAATCCAGTGACACATACCTGAGGTTCATTTCTTTCTCCTGATTCAATTTGACCCTCTCCTTCTCCTCCTCTTCTTTCACCTTCTCTCGTAGCTTTTCCAGTTCTTTTTCCTTTTCTTCCATAAGAGCCATCCTAGCCTTCTCACCTTCTTCATCATCATCATCCTGTATTTGCAATGCAGGCACTTTCCTTATCCTGCAATCCAAGGCACATGTTTCAGTTTTAGTCACAGTCTTGTTAAAGTGGGACAAAACATGAACAGACTTGATGTCAAATGTCGAGAAGTAACATCAACAAACTATATGAAATATTGAAACAACAAGCCAATGAAATCCAAAGTGATTTGGTTTATACAATTCAGGACAATATATATTTCATAACCTCAAGCATCATGGCATGAGTGAATGATTCCATCATATTTCTTTGCTCTCATGTTTTCAATTATATACATTGATTAGCATTATTGACACAAACAAAACTGTCACACATAATTCATTCAGATATTTGTGCCTACCTGTCAGTTGTTACTGCAGGTTTGGGGCTTTCCTGATGCTTCTCTAACTGAAAAGATGGTCTTAAAACTGCATCCTGTACAAATGGTCCAACAGTGAATGGAAAGAACAATGTTTTAATCAATGTTATCACTGAAATTGATGTAACGCATCTTATCTAAAACTGGCCTAGTGTGTGCTATTTCATACTAGTATGACTTTCTGCTCCTACATGAGATCCTACAAACAAAGACAGACAGCTGTGTGTGTAAAATGAAAACTCACAGGAGACATGGAGGATCCTGACTTCATGGACCTGTTCATGCTGTCAAGTGGATTAGGGATGCCAAAATCCTGCATGATGTGAACAAACAGAATCTGATGTTTTCCCCATTCCAACCACAGTAAACTTTCTGTCTTGCTGAAAACCCAACAAACCCAACATGATTATTAAATAAAATCCCAATATCTAACAATTCTAGAACACAGCATCAATAGTAACTTACCACATCCTTCCCATCATCATCATCAGACTCTTCAGACGACCCTCCAAGCATTTGTCTGTCCTCCGGTTTGTCACTACCTTCTGAAGACTGAAAAACAGATTTCATTAGACTTATTACACATTGTCAAGCAATGCACATAACTGTGTTATTGTATACAGTAACACACCTGTTTGTATATATGTGAGGTTTCCATATTTTCTAATCTCAATAGATTTACATGTAGTATTTGCAAGACTGCATGCAATCATCTTAGATTGTTAAATACATGTACACAAGAATCTGATATAATACATGTACACTGTGTATATAAATGACCTACAGAGAAGAAAGTACATAAATTATATTGCAAAACTCAAAGTTCCCACCTCATATCCCAGATTTCCAATGTCAAGGTCATCGAGGTTGAACTGTTTACCCTTGCCAAGGCCTGCTGAGCTCTAAGAGGGAAGAATTTGATGTATTCATTGGTACATGTCCACTGAAGAAAGTACTGAGGTGTGCTATGTCAAACTGCTGCATTTAGGAGACGTGCACTTACAACCTTTACACAATCAGTATCAGCACCAAAAAGTAAAGCAACATCCTCCAGAGTTCTCCATACACATTACAAGACAGGTATCATAACAGATTAACTCTACAACTATAAGTTCAACATCATCACACAGCTGAGATTATCACACAACTCTTACCTCACTGTCATCATCCCTGTCGAGGCTTGTTAAAAGGTTGATCCCCTCCCCAACACCACCGGACCTGTTCAGGCTTCCACCCAAGCCTCGGGGCACGTCCATACCCAGGCTGCCAGGACCTCCTCTCTAGGACATACCATCAGTTAAGAATAAGCTTTTGTAAGCCTTTGTTATCTTGGTACAGGACTTTGTTCCCTACAAAATCTCTCCTTTCTAATTAGTCATAACCCTGTGAGTCCAGGACTGAACCTGAAATTCAACACTGTAAGGCTACAAACATGGTCTGTGAACAACAGGTGCAAAATCCAGTGATATGACAATCAACAGTCATTACAGTAATCAATAGTGTTTTATCATGAATACAGAGTGGCACAATTATAAGTAACTCTTCATATTGGTATGCTGTAAACTATTGTTTGGCTTGCTACTTGATAGTCATGATATTTCTGGTAAAGTTCATAATTTTTTAAAATTCTGTCTCTACATGTTATAACAATATAACCCTTCAACCCTGTGTTGGTATGCATTAACATGTGATAAAAAGTTAATGATTAAGCTGACCAGTGATCCCAGTGGAGACAAAGGTTCAGTTTTCAGGGGAGCCAGACTGCCGAGCCCTCCTGACCGACCAGTGCTGCCTAAAGAACCGGTTAATGGACCCAGGGTTCCCAGGGGGCTGGTGGGCTCACCCTTTAGCAGACCGAGTCCCTGGGAAAAATACAGCCGATAATGTGAAATCCTGTTGAACTGTCTCTGGTAAAAATAAAAGATCACAATAAGCATAATTATCACTGAACCATCATTGTGCATGTTGGTGCAGCATATATACAACGGTTGCATATTACTATACATGATATACATTGTACATTGTACCGACCATACAGTACCTGTGTTTGTGCCTTCAATGCTGGGGAGTTTCCACCCTTTTCCTTTTTCTCCTTTTTCTTCTTTCCTGGCTTCTTACCAGATGAACCTAAAATACATTTTGTACATATGGAATATAACATACATTTGTACTGCAAATGAATTCAATTTACACACACTGTTTTTCAATGTTTTGCCACAAAGCATGCTCACAATAAAACTAGTTGTTGTTGTTGTCCTTGTTTAACATCTAATATATCACTAGACATGGTCACTTGGTGCTCGTTTTCGCGTGGTTCAGTTCAGAGTCAAAAAGTCTCTCTAGGTATTTAACTCTTGGTGATTACCTCCTCCTTTCTTCTTGTCCCTTTCTTCCTGCACCATCTTGCGGTAGTACTCATCACATGGATGATCCCACACACTGTCTCCGGTGGCAAAGTTGAAGTAGTAGATATCACCATTGCCATCTTGACTGTATGTCAAAAAGTGGAATACAAAAATGACATGAGAATGATTACCTACAGCTGCACACTAAACTGGTTTCAGTACTGAAGGTGTTTTATTAATGACTTAATTAATGTCATCCCATATACTAGTAGTGTACTTCTCAAAATGATTATTGCCATTGTGCCACCTTCTACATAGACCCTCTATACAGTACAATTGTAGTAATTTTTGTAACACATCACTATGGTACTAAATTTCAACTGTGCCAACAACTGTCACCTCAATGCCCTAATCATAGGAAATCATTGAGTCAGTGTCAATGGCCAAAAAAGAAACATTTTTCTTTTTTGGCCATTGACACTCAATGATTTCCTATGATCCTTCCTTTGTCATGTCAAAGTTACAAGAATAAAAAAGTGATTTGAATTGGATCATTGAAAATGCCCTAAGGCCCTACTCGGTCCTAAACAAATGACACTGATCAATCTCCCATGTTTACGCACTGTCAGTCTGTGGTACTAGTAAACTGTGCATGACATTTGTTGCGAATGTCAAAGGTTTGCATGAGTAGCTAATAGGCTGATAGCTACAGTCAGTTTTTGCAAGTACATGTACATTTATACATGTAGCCCTACCATGGTTTCCAGTCGTCAGGCAGTGGAGCATTGATTCCTTCTCTGGCAATCCACAGTAAGTCTTGATCTTTAGGCAGTTGGAGTCCCAAAACCTCCAATGCATACTCACGTATTTCTGTTGAGAATTTTAAATATTATAAGTGATATTACACTGAACACTTATACTAGAGTCAACATAAATGACAACAGAGTCAACATAAATATGGGAACATACCACAAAAATTCTGTGTTATTCCTATGAAATTATGACAAATGCATGATGTCAAGTTTTGGACTTTATACTCGTCATCAAGGAAGTTATCAAATTGACACAATGCTTATTATGGGTTCACCACACCACGAAGTGGTGTGGTGAAACCATATTGCTTCTTCTCCTCCTTCTCCTCCTGCCATTTCTTTAAATGGATTCAGCTTCTTCATTTTAGGGCCTAAGGTCCTGAAATTTGGTATGGAGGTACAGTGGGCAAATACCCCTAGGCGTTTTTTAAATTTTTGTGATACAAGCTTTTACAATCGTTTTATTTGCTTTTTTAGCGGTCCCCATAGGAAAGTACTGTGCGGGGGCGTACGCGCGTGACGTAATAAGAAAGAAATTCGGCGGCATGCCCATATATGGGCATGCAAGCATG